ACTATTATTATGGTTTTATTATCACATCTGCCTCCTTGGATCAGTTTACAAAAACCACTTTGGAAACTGATATCCTACCCACTTCCTGTGACTTTAGAGCTGTTCTCTACCTAGACTACACACACACACACACACACACCAGTGATTTTATATTTGCCAAACTGTTGTTACTTTGGTTTCATCTTCGGTGTTGCTTCTTACAGAGCCTCAGATTGCCCCACCCTCTATTAAGCCAGGTATCTTTGACATAAGCCCTCAGAACCTTCATGTAGTTTTTACTCTTTACCTCTTTACTCTCTTGGGGGCTCAACACTTAGCTACCAAATAAATATACACAGAGACTTATCATTTCTTATAAGGGCCCAGTCTTAGCTTGGTTTGCTTCTTGCCAGTTTTTCTTAACTTTAAATTATCCCATCTATCTTTTTGCCTCTGGGCTTTGCCTTTCTGTATTTCTGTATATATTTTCTTTCCTTCTTATTCCATGTCTGGCTGTATGACTGGGTGGCTGGCCCCTGGAATCCTGCTCTCCTCCTTTTCTCTTTCCTTGATCTCCTACTTCCAGATTTTCCCTTCTTTTTAACTCTCTCTTCCTGAAAGCCCTACTTACCCTTTTTCCTGCCTCACTATTGGCCATTTCAGTGCTTTATTAGACCAGTAAGTGTTTTAGACAGGCAAAATAACACAGTTTCACAGAGTTAAACAAATGCAATGTAGAAGAACGTACAGATCTTTGCGTCATTAGAACAAATGCTCCATAGCATAAACAAATGTAACATATCTTAATATTCTACAACACCTTCTGGCTTATCTCCAGAGCCCTACACAGAGCACATATACAGACATGCCTGCATTATTGTGAATGGCCTGCTGCTCTCTAGAAACTGTATGCTTTTTGAAGGTTCGTGGGACATGTGTATGACAGATGAATGAGCCGTGGTTAGCTCCAAATCTGTGACTTATCTATGACTCCCTATGTCTACCTTGCCATGTTATTGAAGTTGAGAATAGAATAAGAACAAAACTTAGAGGTTTTAGTGATATGGAAAACAACACCCTCATTCAGATAATCAGATTCCCTGAAACAAAAAGCCATCTTAGAAGGGGCAGGGGAGTCAAAATGTACGAAAACCAATGTTTAAATAGCACAGTGAAGAACATGGGGAGAAAATTTTTAATGTTTATTTATCTTATGCATGTAAGGGTTTTGTCTGTGCATATATATGTATGCCACGTGTGTGTCTGGGGCCACTGAAGTCAGAAGAGAGTGTCTGACAGATGATTGTGAGCCACCATGTAAGTGCTGGGAACCAAACTGAGGTCCTCAGTCTGTGAGTCCTGCACAGGGGCACAGGAATAACCACAGCACAGGAATAAGCACCGCCACAGGCTGGAAGCAAGAGCTCCTATTTCTAATAACACCCACTCAGAACTGACCCATCTGTGTAGCTGCTGTGGACTTTGAGCAGCTTGCCTTGTTCTGTTCAAAACGCTGTCTCAGGAAGATTCCTCATTTCTTGGTCTTTCTCTGAAACCCCAGTTCACTGAAATCCCAGCAATCCCCTCATGAAAACCTACTTGGTGGAGCTCCCACTGCCAGAGAAGAGCAGAGTTACAAGTCCACTGCCCTGGAAGTCTTGTCAACGATATCCGCCGTGCATCATGCTCTCAATGCTAGTGCCTGCTGAGGAGCAGAGCACGGACCAACAATCACCAGAAACAAACAACTCAGCCACAGCTGTCCACCTATGGCTTGTGCTCTAATTCAATAGCCCTGCTTTACAAGGTGGCAGAGCAACTGGAGTTCCAGGGGGTCCACACAGGGACGCTGGGAGGAACAGTAAGTACTTCTAACAGCCAAGCCATTGCTCTAGCCGGTTGTGAGCGCATCTTATCCCAGGAACAGGAAAAGAAACACAGGCCCTCGGAAAGCTGCTTTTTGAAACAGGAGGGGCTAATGCTCACAACTGGTCATACGTGCTGAGACTAAGTGATTCTTATGTGCTCATCCCTAAATGATCAATCTATATCACCACCCAAATGCTCGGGGCACCTACTGGAAGACTGTAAGAATTGCAGGATGACCGGGCATCATTGGTGGCTCATGTCTTTAATTCCAGCACTTGGGAGGCAGAGGCAGACAGATCTCTGGGTTTGAGGCCAGCCTGGTCTACAGAACGAGTTCCAGAACAACCTCCAAAGCAATACAGAGAAACCCTGCCTTGAAAAACCAAAATAAAATAAAATAGAATAAAAAAGAGCTGCAGGATGGGGAGGAGTGCTGGGAACTTCATCTTCTGAGCGTACCATGGTCATTGCACTTGTGATCTCAAACACCTGTAAGTCACCTACAGACGATGCACACAGATGCAACCTGTCAACATTTGGTCATGGATGGAGGAGGGAACAAATGTGGCCCCACCCCTAGCCAGGAAAATATTGATAGTTAATGGCTGCTAGGAGTTGGGAGCTGTTTTCTTCAGGATGTAGCCACTGGCAAGTTGTTCATGATCTAGTAGATAACCCCACACTAATTCACGTTCAAGCATCTCCAATTAATCTTGGTGACTGCAAAAGAAAAGAAGGCATACAAGCAGAAGTACAAAGTCAGGAAGACAGGTTCTAGAAGGAATGGGAAGGGATAGGAGAAAGGCATGAGGGAGGGTACGATCAAAATGCATTGTATACCCGTACAAAATCGTCAGAGAAGACGGTAACAGCCTTTTAAGCACACACAACCGCAGCTGTGAAGAGGGGTATGAGGCAAGCCTGTCCTTCCACACAACTGGCCAGCCTCCCTCCACTCAGCTGTGACATCTGTCATGGCCCATATTGATTGCCAACTTGACAGTACCTAGAATGACCTAGAAAACAAGCCTGAGGGGCTTACATGGGTTAGGTTAGCCAACAGGCACGTCTGTGACAGCTTTCCATAGGGTTAGTTGAAGTAGGACAGTAACTGCCAAGTGTGGGAGGCACCCTTTTCACGGGCTGGGCCTCGCGCTGAAAGAGAGGGAGGAGAGCTGAGCACCAGCATCCATCTCTCCGCCTCCTCATTTCCAATGTCCTGTGACCAGTGGCCTCAAGCTGCTGCCATCGTGACTGCGGAACTACAAGCTAATGAAAGAAGGAAAGGAAGAAAGAAAGAAAGAGAGAGAGAGGGAGAGAGAGGGAGGGAGGGAGGGAAGGAGGGAGGGAAGGAAGGAAGGAAGGAAGGAAGGAAGGAAGGAAGGAAGGAAGGAAGGAAGGAAGGAAGGAAGGAAGGAAGGAAGAAAGGAAGAAGCGACTTGGCACACTTTGCAATCATACTTAGATTGGGTCTTCCATGAGGAACTTGTTTCTTCCCAAAATAGCCAACGACGGAGATTGTGCAAACATTCCAATGTAAGCTGGGTCCCCCTGAGGTTACCAGGGCTTCCATCCCCTGGGTCCGGGGAGAAGCATGTGAGCGCCTGGACCAAGTATACCTGACTCTCACACACACCCTGCTGAGCCTCCCGCTTTCCACCCGCTTCGCGGAACAGGTCCAAGGCTCTATGATCACGGAAAGCTCTTGCCAATATTTAGATGTCCTTAGTGTAGCAGATGGCTGCAGTAAGATGAGACCCTTCTGTGCCTTACAGCTTCAGCCCTCTTCCCCTCCTCGTCCAGCGGACCCAGCGCACACTTTGGTGTCCCTATACAGTTCCACTGGCTTTCAAACGTCCCTGAGGGCCTCAGCCTAGAACAGCCTCATCTCCTCCCAGCCTCTTGTCCTCCTTCACTTACACAAACAGGAAACCACCTAGCAACAGCCCATTTCGTCTTTCTGCTGTCTAACACTATTTACTGTTTAATGTTAGGTTTGTCTACTATCCAGATTGTGTGGAGACCCTGTGTAGACTGGCTGATCTGCAATCTTACATGCGTCTAAAATAAGGCTGGAAATTCTGAAAAGCTACAAATGAGAAAGTTTAAAAAGCTGTAGGTTCCATATTTTATTTGCATGATTTATGTGTGCTTCTCTCATTCCTTCCAGGGCTCAATGTTTACTGCTCATGAAAAGAAATTCAGCATTCAAAATTAGTAATGAAATTCATAAATATTTAATGTTAATTTACAAGCCCAAGAAGAATGAAAAATTCAAGGTAGCCAACAAGTACAGGCTAACAAAAGAAGAAGAAAAAAAGCTGGTTTCTACCATACAGTGATACATCACATCTAATAAAACATCTTGAACAAATGAGGTGCAAACTCAGACAGATAATTAGACTGTCAAATAGGAATAGGTGGGGTGTGTGCGTGTTTTAAATTAAAAAATGAAATTCGAGGCTCCTTTGCTTAATGAAGCCCAATTCTTTCATCTTTTAAAATGATTTAAACTAAAAACTGGAGTTTGAGGGGAAAGGAGATTTAAAACCTCCCTTCAGACATTAATAAACACTATCCCACATTCTAAAACTATTAGACATAATTTGGCATAATTGCCGATCTTTCCTGAGCGAAGGCAGGCACCTCAGTTGTGTTAATGTCTGCATTCTTTGCACAAAGGGAAAGGCCGCCCCATTGGTGACTTGAGGTTCATGCTTTTAGAGAGGCATCATGACACAATGTATGCTTGGCACCATGTGTTGAGACAGAATTTTTATTTTTCTTAACTCACCATAAGAGTGGAAACATCTTTCTTGAGACTGAAAGACATTTTCTACAATTCCTTATTGAAGAAATTGATGTAAGGACAATGAAGACATTTGTTTTTATTTCCTCTCAGTCAAATTCCATTCTGTTTTTCAAACTCTAAAATTGAGTAGACCTCAAAAGTATTTCTCTCTGCAGACATACGCTCTCTTGCAGTGACTTCCTGGCCAACTTGTCTCATCTGTCTAATTCAGATCCTAACCCTGAAGGCAGATACCATGCACTTTACAGTGTTTTCTTTAGCACAAACACTGAGCTGACAAGTTCAGTAAATCTTAAGCAGCAATGGATTTTTCCATTGCCATTATCTGCTGACTCCTGTTTGTCTGTGCTGGCTCCTAATTTCAATGCTTGTAGATTTCTGTCCTTCTGTGCCATTATTGGAGTGGGTAGGAATTTTCTAAGTCAAACTTTGTGTGTGTGTGTGTGTGTGTGTGTGTGTGTGTGTGTGTGTGTGTGTGTGAACATTTCCCATCACACAGCCAAAGGAAAGAAAGAAGACATAGAGCAGAGAGGAAAGTAAGGCTTGCTCAGAACACCGTTGACCATATTTGTGATGACAGTTTGTCAAGATTCACCGATATTTGCAAACAACTTGTGTAGCATATGCTATCTCTAACACCCATGGAAACTATTCCTATCCTATCCAACTTGTCAAAATAGCAATAATCAACTTAAAGTACTTCAGTGCTAAATGACTCATTGAATTCACTCATGGAAACATTTGATAGTTTTCTGAAGCTCCTTCGCCTTTATGTGTGTGAAGAAACATCAAAATTAATAAGAAAATCAGCAGCCGTGGTTTTCCCCTGTTGGTAGGAAGCTGTCCCTGGTCGCACGAACTTGTTAGCAGAGATTTCTCCAGGACAGCCTGAGACTACCACAGAAGACAAAGCCCTATCAGAGGAGGGCACTGAAATTATACTTGAGCTGGACCTCAGCAAACAGCACGCTGGGGTAAGTAGCTAAATCAGAGTACTTTAATTACTGTGGGAACTTTTATTTCCAATTATATACCCGTGTAAACTTCCAGCTAAAAATCGCATTATGTAGAATCCTTTTTGAGAAAACAAAGACTTCATAACTTAGAAAGGGGGATCACACCATGCTTGAAGTTTGCCACATAAAAGGCTTCACCATAGAATTTATTTTGTGTCCATTAAACCAGGTGCCGGGAAGCCATGCCTAGCATTTCCACTGCTTTTCCCCCAGAGGTTTGTTTGCTGTCTCACAAGAGACGTGACATGCCCCCTCCGGTAACTGATTTGATTATATCTGTTTGTTAACTAAGGTGATGATGTATGTCATGTGGGACATTCGGTGCTCTACTGGTGAAATCAGGTGCTGAGACCTCTGTCCTTGTAGCCTCAAAAGATCTTTAGAAACTTACCACAAGGCTCAAGATGGCTGAGACTCCAATTCTTGCTGCCTGGGACTAAGACTCTGAGTATTTTGCAAGTTCATATTTCAAAAAAATTTTTTATTATAATCACCTGCCATGTAACTTGAGTATAAGTTGTCTCAATTGCTGTTTTACAACTATAGGAAAGAAAATCTAAGAAAGAAAATTAAACACATTTATTTGTTCCAGACATGAAAACAAACTATAGGAAAAAAAATTTTTTCTGGGGCTTTCTCAAAAGTAGAGCTAGGTACAGTTTAAACAAGTGATTCTTTCACTTTCTTAGGCTTTCACAACATCCCCAGGAAGGTTACCACCTGTGATTAGAAAAGAAAAAGAATCTTCTAATCAGACCATGACAGCACACGATCTGCTAGATGATTTGCATAAATCCTGGTTTATAAAACAGGGCATCACAACATGTAAAGCAGAGGCAATCCATAACACACCCAACAGAATAACACTTCTCTGATAATAGGATATCCCAGAAGCTAAAACACAGCTTTCAAAAATTAGAATCTTACAACTTTTATTATAGACAGGCATGTGCCCTGCTTCTGATGACAGAGCTTAAAATAAACAGTTTTTTTCTTTTCTTCTTCTTTTTTTTAAATGCCTTTGCCTTGCACTCTCTGAGATATATTTTTAAATTAAGTGACCAGAAGGCATTACTACTGGCAAAGCATTAGCAGGGAAGAGACCACCATAACATCACCAATGAGACACTGAATCATTTCTCCTGTTAGTGAAAGTCAGAGGCAAAAGTTCTAAAATTATACAATTGCAAAAATAAATCAAGTTAGCATGCCATTTCTGCTTTTCTACATTAATAAATTAACCATGTAACATTGTTCAAAAGTATGTCAGTTACGCATATAATAATCTTTTAAATTAATGAAGTGATGACGCTGTTTGAAGACACCCATGATTTACAGGGCTGCTTTTAGCTAATGTTAAAAGCCTCTCATTTAACAAATTACCCCCTTGAGAAATTACCAAAAATGAATATTTTCAATGCTAAATGTTTCAGGGTTTACACTTTTTCAATATATTAACAAATGGCAAGGGAGACATATTTTTCAAAATAGATCTTCTTTTACATATATTTAATTGAAATTAATTAGTGTATTGCTTTAGGAGAAAATGATCCTACAAGATCATTTGTGGGAATTTTTGTGAAGTAATAAAGCTGAATTTAAACAATGAAATCCATCATATCTTCACAAAATCTGTATGATGGATTAGGAGTCATTTCAAGCTTTGTGATTAAATAGGAACAATTCTGCAGAATCCACATTCCTAAGATACAGCAAGAGCTACTCACTTAAATTAATTGATGCCTTAATTCTTTGTTTGCGTTATTAATCATGCTTAAAACGATATTGCTAATAAGCTCCATCATTTTTGTAATGATCTGCATATTGTTCAACTTTATCTTAGCATTTCTCTGTGGTTTTTCAGATGTTATTTTAACTCCATCATGAATAATAACAATCATTTCCATTGTCTCCTGCCTTTACGTAGCCTTGGAGACAGGTCTGAATATGAGAGAACTAATGTCTTATGGAGAGATGTTATGCAAGTTCATTAGGAAGACGAGAATGAATTTCAGTCGAGTCAGGATGTGTGAGACCAGGAAGAGAAGTAGTTACATACAAGTAACCAATGTGTTCCCTGTACTTAGGGTTTGTTTTCCTAATGTTGAGCCCGATTTTTATCCCACCTCTGAGTTAGTAATGCGCCTGGGACACTTGGCCATTTCTGTTTCAAAGCATTTGCTGGTGCAGCCCTGAAATCAAGGTTAATTAATTTGTGCTCCTTGAACCAATGAATATAATTTTCAGCAGCCAGATGTCAAGGAAACAATTTTTAAAATTCTTATAACCAATTGCAATGCAGTGGTGGATAGAGTGCTGGTATTTGAAATGATTTTAAGGAATTTTCAAGTTTCACCGTGCACAGCGAGACAGGATTTTAGGCATATTATTTTTCTTTTTAAAATGGCTTGAAGAAAGCACTAAAAAGCCTGGGAAATGTAAGAGTTTTAGGGATTTGTTTATATAATATGTAGCTATAATAGCCTACAATTATTTGAGTAATAATTTTCAAGAGTCAATTTTGAAGAGTTAATAATGAAATATTAATTTTCAAGAGTTAATAATGAAAACGAAAGTGTTAAATCCGAGTGTTGAAATACCCATGTCTAACTGTGGAATGTTTGCAGAAGGGTCTCCATTTGCCATGATAGCTACACTTTGATTTCTCATTCTCATATCTCCAGATGGGACTGCCCAATCCACAGGAATGCCCCTACATTTTTAAAGAATTAGCACACATGCTCTACTCTGGCAAATTGCACAGAGATGCATAGCTAGAAGTTTGAAATATCAGATAGTGTTAGCATTGAGATTTATTTCCTGGAAGCAATTCCAATGAGTAAGAAATTATATGGGCATTGAAGTTGATAAAAATCCTGCACTGGTTGAACTGAAATCTCAAGAGAGGAGGGAGTGACCAGAAGAGCCCCCAGAGAATCTGTGAATGTTCATAGAGGAGCGGAAGACACTACTCAGGGAGGGATAATTTCAAACTGCAATTGTCACTCCAGACAGATCAAACCTTGTGCCTCAATCCATACTAACTCTGGTTTTACATCTCTGAATCTCAGTTTTACATGTGTTTAAAATGGAATCGAGTATGACACAGTTTGCAAGCCAGTAAGTCTTTGACTTTTTACAGCACAAAGAACAGCACTCTGCCACTGCTTTTCAAAATAGAGTGCAGCGTGCCTCACAGACACGGAGCCAATAAAATGCTCTATTTATTGGCGAAGCATTAACAGCGTCTCTTATTTTACTCCTGTGACCCTCTTTGGCAGTTAGTCACACATTCCAATTGAGCAGACACCACAAAAATATCCCTCATGTATAAGGAAGGAGAAAAGGTCTAATTGGCCATCGACCTCTCTCTCCCAACTCCCCTGGAATCACAACCCAGTGACTTCCAATTCATCACCTGGGGGTAGGGTGGGCCTGGGCTCAGGAAGAAATCTGGCTAGGCTGAATCTTAGATGCCCAGCTGCACCCGGAACTGCCACTTCAGTGAGCATTTGAAAGCTAACAGTGACTACCTCAGCACCTGAATCAATGCTTGTCAAAATGTGCTACACTCAGCAGCAGGTATTATCAATGCAACATCTATTACTTTGGATTTCTTTAATTTGCTTTTACTACTTTCTATATAGAACAGTAGTACTGAAATCCCCATTTATAGTGACACAAGATCCCCTTTAAAAATAAATGTATGTTTTAAAGTTTTGTTGTTGGCGGCAGTAGTGTTTTCTGGTTTTGGTTTTGTTTTGTTTTGTTTTTAATTTAGTCATGCAACCAACAGCACTAAGAGGCAAAGATAATGAAGATATATGAAAATGATTTTTTTTTACTAAGGATGAGAAAACATTAAGTCAGAGAATTCTAAAGCTATTGTTGGGAAAGAGTAATCATGTTCCCTTGTCATCAATACTTTTTTTTAAAAGTAAGACTTAGAGTCAATTGCTATATTTTGACTCAACCTCTTCCTGGAGTATGGAAATAGGTAAAATGTATTGTCACCTGTTCTATAGATGGAAACACTGAGAACCAGAAGGTTCAAGCATTTCACTAAAAGCCACACAATTCCCAATGATGAAAGAGAGATATGAAGCCTAAAACCTAAGGCTCTTTTTTCCAGGTTAGCAGGCTAACTATTCAATGGAAGAGGTCACATGGGGGTTGAACATGCTTTTGTATGAAATTTGAGTATTGAGTTTAAAAATGGCATGTTAGTGTATTTTCCAACTCTATAACAGTCACAACAGAAAAATTCCATTTTAGTGGCATGGCCATGAACTCAACTGAACTAATTAGTTCATAATGCTAGCAGGAGGTTAACTAGCTAATGGTGATAAAACATTTTATTGATGAAAAATGCCATATTAATTGCAAAAATTACCATTATTGTATCATCGTTCAGTATTTATATTCAATGAAATTATAGGTTAAAAATATGAATATCATGCCATTACTGTTCTTCTGATGAGTACCTGGACTTGAAGAGCTGGGGTTTAATCTGACTCCTGCTTGAGGTGATACCGGCTTCCTCAGAGGGGTCTGCCAGTTTGGAGTATAGAGATATTCAGAGACAAGCACACTCCAAATGTACTGCCAAGAATGAAATGAATAAAAACAATCCCTGGCTCATCATGAACTTGCTTAAAAAAGACAGACAAACAGACAAAAGGGAAGGAAGGAAGGAAGGAAGGAAGGAAGGAAGGGAAAAAGAAAGAAAAAGAAAGGGACGAGGGAGGGAAGGAAGGAAGGAAGGAAGCAAGGAAGAAAGGAAGGAAATAGAGAAATTATAATTGCAACTAGCAGAATTTATAGCCTCCATGTTATATTCAATCATTAGTCTGTGCAGTGAAACTAGAAATTGTTCACATCCTGAAATGAGAAGGATTCCTCAGAAACATACATACCGTCAGCTCTGGGCACTAGGGATCAAAAGTACTGGGAAAAAG